AAACGATCGGCTGTTTTAAAAAAAATTACAAAGTTTAAGTTTTATAAGCTCAAATGCTCGCCTTGCTCTGTTCTGTGATGCGCATTCGTGACTCTCCTGTTCGAACTTGTTTATCAAAATGAACAAATCTTTTCCCGAGTCGACTCGTTCATTTTGTTCATTGATTGAACCAAATGACGCAAAAAAAAAGATTTGTTCATTTTGATGAACAGGAGAGTCACGAACGCGCATCACAGAACAGAGCAAGGCGAGCATTTGTGCTTATAAAACTTAAACTTTCTTATGTTTTTTTTTTAAACGACAGATCGTTTCACTTGATAAGACCCTTATTCATCGTCCGAAATAGTTTAAAGCCCTTTGAACAGTTTGCACTTTGCACTGAAACTGTCTTTTGGACCTTGAACCGTTTGGTCCCCAATGAAGTCCATTATATTGAGAAAAACCCTGGAATGTTTTGATCAAAAACCTTAATTTCTTTTCGACTGAAGAAAGAAAGACATGGATATCTTGGATGACATGGGGGTGAGTAAATTATCAGCAAAAGCTTTTTTAAAGTGAACAACTCCTTTAATGCATTTACCCTCTTCAGCTGCAGGTCCTTCTGCGCTCTGAACGTCTTCACAGGATCCGAGATCTGGCTCCTATAGTTCTCACATCCGTTGATACGAGACTGGCTCACTTTCGTCACACCCTCCAAGTAAGACCTCCATACGGCCCAAACATTTCTGTACGCATGTTCACAGACATCTGTTCAATGATGAAGACAGACGGATAATGCAATCTGATTGGAAAGATCTCTCGTTTTACCCTGAGTCTCTCAGCTCCTCTGATGGGGCTCCAATCCACTCTCGCTTCAAGTACTGCGAGGCAAGCTTTTGCAGAGCCTAAAAGTCAAGGAACATTTATTTATATAGCACTTTATGCAATATTGATTCTTTCAAGGCAGCTTCACTGTAACACACAAGAAAAAAAAATAAGAAAGTTCTTAGTTTGCACTGAAACTCTCATTTGGACCTTGAACCGTTTGGTTCCCATTGAAGTCCATTATATGGAGAAAGTCCTGGAATGTTTTCATCAAAAACCTTAATTTCTTTTCGACTGAAGAAAGAAAGACATGGATGTCTTGGATGACATGGGGGTGAGTAAATTATCAGCAAAAGCTTTTTTAAAGTGAACTACTCCTTTAAAACGCAGAGGATTCGCTTCCTGGCCCTCAGACCACAAGCTGGCACTGCCAGCCTGATCCTGTGAGCTGCCAGTCCAGTCAGGAAGAGACCCTGAGGAAGAGAGAGACTCCTGTGTTCATGAGCCAATCAGCACGCAGCAGACCTGCAGGTGCACAAGCTTCAGAACCAACAGTAAAGAATCTCACTCACACACACACACACACACACACACACACAGCTGGGCTCCCATTCACCAAGTGATCACACAGATCTTATAGTATCATGATGAAAATGATCGACATGTCACGCTGTAAATATAATCATCTGTTTATACACTACAGTTTAAAAGTTTAGGGTTAGTAATATTTTCATGTTTTTGAAAGAACTCAACTTATGCTGACTAAAAATGAGGTAAAAACTGTGAAATAGTATTACAATTTATTACTCCAGTCTTCAGTGTCATGATCTTTTAGATATCATTCTAATATGATAATTTGATGCTCAAAAAAACATTTATTATTATTATCAATGTTGAAAACAGTTGTGCTGCTTAATATTTATTGTGGAAACAGTGATACATTTTTTTCAGGATTATTTGATAAATAGAAAATTAAATTAAAAATAAAATATAAAAAAAATAAATCTTATACATGTATTTATTGTCACGTTCAATCAATTTAATACTTCCTTGGTGAATTAAACTATTAAAATATTACTAACCCCAAACTTGTGAATTGTACTGTAAGTGGTATAATTTGTATATAGGAAGAAGTCAAAGCTTTTTTTAACTTAAATTGTGTGGTTTAAGGGAATAAAAGGGAAAAATGACATCCTGATGTACATCCAAAATATATGAAATCATACTAATAAAGTTGAGATCAGCAGAAATCAGAGATCATAATGCAGTGTCCCATAACTGATGTCATGTAGATCTTCTCAGCAATGTAACAGAAAGAGACAAGAAGAGCAGATTCGAACCAGAACGCATCTGGTAAAAACACGCGCACCTGCAAATCGTTAACAAACACAGTTTTTTCCACTGAGTCACGAAATGTGCTTCTCTACAAAGACGAATTCACACATAAAACGTCAGTGCTAGTTTACATCAGAGGCAGACACAGACTTAGCTGAATTAGATTTTATAATATATATATATTTTTAATCTCATAACACAAATCAACATACATTATCAAAACTAAACGTAATATAAATGATGAACTCATATAATTGAACATGGTGGCCACAACTTACCTGTGAGTAATCTTTCTCTATTAGTGCTTTCTTCTGGCTGTAAGTTCTGAGGATGACACACACACTCAGTCAAACACTTCAGCACTATACCACCAACAAATAGACAGAAAATGGATTGATAGACATATCCATTGCAATGTAAAAGGTTAATGAAAGGTGAATCACCTCAGATCCTCCAGGAAGTCCAAGTCGGTCTGGTGTTTGAGCTGGAGTCTGTTCAGCTGCTCGGTGTGAGTGTGTTTCACCTCTTGTGTGACTTTAACCTGCAACACACACAATGACAACCTCTGGAGAAGCAACACTCTATCTATCTATTGATCTATGTATCTATCTATTGATCTATCTATCTATCTATCTATCTATCTATCTATCTATCTATCTATCTATCTGTCTGTCTGTCTGACTATCATCTATATATCTATCTATCATCTGTCTGTCTGTAAATCTACTATAAATATGTCTGTCTATCTATCTATCTATCTATCTATCTATCTATCTATCTATCTATCTATCTATCTGTCAGGCTATCATCTATCTATCAATCTATCTGTCTGTCTGTCTATCTATTTATTATCTGTCGATCTCTGTCTGTCTGTCTATCTATCTATCTATCTATCTATCTATCTATCTATCTATCTATCTATCTGTCTGTCTCTCTATCGATCTATCTATCTATCTATCTATCTATCTATCTATCTATCTATCTATCTATCTATCTATCTATCTATCTGCTAATTTGTTCATTAATACGGACATGACAACAACAACAACTCGTATCAATTAAAGAACAGTTCGACTCACCTTTCTTGGAGGAGGTTGCATGTCTGGATCTGGATATACAGGATAAAACTGTTGGAAATTCACCCTCGAAAACCGAACACATCTGCTGGACGGAGCAATGCAGTGTCGAATATTCAATTTAAATGTAAGAAAGAAAGAAAAGAGAGCAATGAAATGCTTCTAGACCCCTCCGTTGAACCGCTCACATAAAAACACAGCTGAGAAATGAAGTAAACTCTGAGAGAACTTCAGTCAGTGGAGCAGCGGGAAGAACAGCGGCCTCCAGTGACCGGACATAATAATAAAACATGTAAAACGGCAATTATGTTTATGTGTGTATGTGCTGTTTTGTGTTTAGGAATGTTCACATTTAATGCAGGCTATGCATACTCATCTTAATCTTACTTTTGGACTAACAGACTAACCTTAAACCTAAAATGCACCTTATTGTCTTTTCAGCTTCATATGTTGTTGGTGAGATGAGGCCATCTAGTGGTGGGAGTATGTAACTCAAATTTAATATCCTAAAAAACTAGTGTTTTTTTTTGTTTGTTTGTTTGTTTGTTTGTTAAATAAATAAATAACAATATTAATAATATAGTTGTTATTATCAAAATAACTCTAGTAAATATTATTTGTAATTATTTAAATTATTTATTTTAAGATTACAGTTTTTCTGTCGCTTTGGGCGCATTTCTCACATCACTATTTACATTTGCACAACAACAGTTAGTCTTGTACTCAATTACCTCACTAAATACAGTAATGTGAAACTTTACAGTAGTTTTCAAATGACTGTGAAAATGGTGTCACCAAGATCTGACGTTTTGCATTGGAAAACATTTACAGAGACATTTAATGAAAACATGACAAAGCCATCTTGTTCATAATAAACAATGGTGTCAGGACTTTTCATCTTGATGACACTGAACCTTTCATTGAATACTTGCTTTTGAGGAATGAGATGCATTTTAAGCAGCAGGTTATCGATTTGGTTTTTCAGTTTGTACTAATTGAGAACTGCATTATGCAAATGTAAATAGTGATGTGAGAAATCGCGACTGAGATAAACTGTAAATGATCGTGCATAATTTTCGATAAATACATTTCTAAAAGTACACTGCTAGAAAATTACTAGCTGTTCAATCGGTGTGTAAAATGCTAACATGTTTAAGCAGACTGAAAAACCTGTAAAATTAGGCTGGGAGTGTTTATGATTTATAAAACATGACACCCTCATGCAACGATGACTACTGTGAGTCTTTTTCACGGCTTCAGTGATGAATTTGTTAGGTCAGTTGTTTAGATAATTGGTACACTACACTTGATATACTACAGAGTTACTCAATGTTTGCTAAATTTAGCTAAAGGCGAGATTAAGGTGAGTGAACATGATTTGCTGCGCCTGTAAATAAAATCTAAATTAAATCAAATCTGAAAATACATTAAGGTGCATTTTAGGTTTAAGGTTAGTCCAAAAGTAAGATTAAGATGAGTATGCATAGTCTGCGTTAAATGTGAACAGGTTTAAAATTGTGTGTTAACCATGCTAAACTGCAAACAGAAGAACTATAAAGACTTAATATAATACACAAAAACATGAGGAAGAGATTGAGTAACAAAGAAAGGGAGAGAATATTCCACAGCCAGTAACTCACTGTAATCTGTAATCTGAGATTACTGGCCGAGTGAAGCTTCACTTTGGCCTGTTTAAGGATTAGAGTCATCAAACTATTCCAGAAGTACAACCCCCTCTGACTGCTGAGAAGTCTCACAAACAAAAGCACAAACTCCTCCGTCACGTCAAACAAGCACCACAACATCAGGGATACCGCTAACACTGCTATTGCCCCTGTGGTGGCAGCGACTGACCGATGGCTCTGCTCAAATCTGGCTGGCTCTGGAGACAGTGTAAGTGCTTACCTGTTCATTTAGGTATTTTAGTAAAGTAATACATTATATAAGTAATCTGCTCAGTGCACCTCTAAGAAATGAAAGTAGTTAAAATAATAATAACAATAATAGTTGGAATAGTTTTTGGAGGGGGAAAAACTGTTGTGTGAATATTTTGTCTTCAAAAGTAGAACACAAAGTGCAAAGTGTTTCCCAACATTTAAATTCATATAAATCAAAGTTAAAAGACTAGATATTAAGATGTACTGAACAGCACAAATATAACACAAATATGGCAGCTCTGTTGGGTGCTTTTTTGCCTGTACATTTCTGCTGATAAGCAATATTTATATATATATATATATATATATATATATATATATATATACAGTGTATATATAATATATATATATACACAGTATATGTGTGTGTGTGCTGTCAAATCGATTAAATTATGATTAATTGCATCTAACATGTTTACATATATGTAAATGCATATGCATGTATATGCAAACACATGCTCACACACACACACACACACACACACATATATATATATATATATATATATATATATATATACTGTACTGTATGTACACACACATATATAAACAAACTTTATTTAACATGTGATTAATCACGATTAGTGATTAACAGCACTAATATAATTAAATGAAATGATTATGAAACTCAGAGCCTGACACTGTTTGCATTGATAATCCTCTTACGGTCAGTGTTACAGAAGAACAGGACAGTATATGTTAGTTAAACTCACCCAGAGAAACCCCAAACGATACATAAAAAGAAATCTAAAACATAAAACTGACATTAATTTAAAATAACAACTTAATATAGGTCTATTCTTCGTTAGCACTATAGTCTAGTAACATCTTTGAGAAGTTTGAGTTGCTAATGCTAACTGAAGCCTTTGTGATAAAGCAAATGTTGTTTGTTATGTTCATTTATTGTGTCAAATACACTCAGTCGCTTTGAACAATTAGGTCCTTATGATCATTTAGCTGCAGGCTTATAAATATGTATATATTCATTAAAATTAAAAACAAACATAAACTAACATTAACAATGGACAAAATCCCCACTATCTGACCCCCGAAGGCCGCTGTGTAGGCTAATTCAAACCCAGACAAAGACCCATTGGGTGAAGCATTGAAATTATACTATAATGCATATAAAAAATTAAGAATCGAATCGAATTAATCGAATCGCATCGAATTGAATCGTTCTGAATTTGCACAAATCGTTCTTGAATCGAATCGAAAACCTATGAATCGTGAATGGAATCGATTCGCTGTCTACCCAAAGATTCACAGCCCTAGTATTAGTTCTGTCATGGTGTTTTGTCATAGTTCTGTCAACATTTTCCCGCTGTTTTGTGAAGTGGAAAGGTTTTAATGGATGTCAAATGCTCTTCATGAAACCATCAATGCCAATAAAGAGCCAATTAAAGATATCATGAAGCTGTAGAGAGTAGTTTGTCTGTGCTACTGTATACACGACTATGGAGATGGAGATAGATACTCAATAATATTGCAATTTTTTAAATGATAATTTTGTTAAAAACGTTCACAGCTTCAATCCTCAAACGCTGGAAGCTGAACTGGTGTGACCTCTGGATAGATGGGAGCTTTGTTTTTTACACATCTGAATCCAGGAGAGACTATGAGACCAAAGCGAATCTAAAGAGCGCCTGTGTGAATGTGAAGTCTGGTCTGGAGTGTGCAGGTATGAAGAAACGTATTATGTAGAAAGGGCATGTTATGAGAATACTTTGCTCTTATAACAGTGTCTTTGTGAGCAGGTGTGTGTCCACCTGAGAGTCACCCGAGAGAGAATCTGTTGGTTGTCTACCTGAGGGATGGCTCTATGCTGATCCTGTGTGCCAACAGTGAAGATGAGGCACTGTAAGTCTTGACCTTAGACACTTGTAGCCTACGTAACCCCTCCCACAACAAATGAACCCGTTTTCCCCCTCTAATTTATGTCCATTGGGTCACTTTTCAGGGCCTGGAAACTCACACTCATGGAGGCCAAAAGAAATCCAGTGAGTGTTATTTTTTTACATGCAGGATCATTTTTGTTTTTTTGCTTTAATATTTATTCAATTCACATTTCGTTTCACTCTCACAGGTTTTCACATACAATCCCTATGACGATACTTACCAGACCGTTCCCATTGACAGTCATAATGCGGTTTACATCATGCCAGGTGCAGGTTGTGGAGGTAATTATACAAACACGTCCCTTATATATTTTGTTAACGCTTTACAGTAATGTTCCATACATCAGCTAATTTTAACTAACAACGAGCAATACATCCTTTACAGTATATTATCCTTTTCTAGCATCAGTTAGCAGTTTTTAGAAGAGATTACTTTAATTAAATGATTACTTTTAATCAGATTACTTTTCAAGTAACGTGTAAAGTAACGCATTACCTTTAGATTTAACAAAATAAGTAAATAAATTTAATTAATTTTATAGACTGAGAGCTTACCTGTCCCCATGTTGACAGTACTGAATTGTATTTGCATTTTCTTCAGCCTAAAGCTTATTCATTTCACTTTTGGTCTGGAAGGGCCTTTTTGCCATTTACCAAAAATAACTTTTTTTTGTTATTAAAAAACCAACCATCCAAAAGTCAAGTCGGGTGGGGTTGGGAAAGTAACACAATTGATACCTTTTTAAGGGAGTAACACAATATTGTAATAGCTACATTACTTTTAAAAGTAACTTTTCCTAACCTTGTTAGTTAATAAAAAATACAACTGATATTTTAATAATGTATTAAATGCAATAGACGAATAGTGCTTCAGACGTATTTTTCAATGTTAGTTTACTTTAACTAATGTAGTGATGTTAACAAGTATTGTAAAGTGTTACCATTTTTTCTCAGGCAATAAAGTTTTACATTTAAGACTTTTTTAAATGACAAGTCAAGTTCCAATAAACAGAGAAACATAAAGGCACACCATGCAGGAATTCTGTTGTCAAACAGCGCCCCCTAGAGTCGCTGTGGAGTACTTGTATTTAATGTTACTGTCGTAAATACCTATCTGCCATAGACTGGTCTCTACACTCACAGTCTGATACCCATTTGAAGCTGTTATATTAAGGTACAAATCTTGCATAGTGTGCCTTTAACAACGGACGTACCCCTAAACCGGATGTGCTTCCTTGTAGGGACTCAGCATGTCTGGGTGCACAGAAACACCGATGACAGTTTTGGAGAGCAGATTGCGTTGGGACTCCTGGCTGGAATGGCTGCAGGTGCAGCGATGCGTTCACTTCTATGGATGCCCTTCTGGTTCTGCTGAGGGCCAGTCGGGGAGCAGGAGGTTCACTGGAAATCCAGCGGGATGAAAGAATAGACTGGAAGAGTCGTCCATAAAGCTCAGCGATAGCAAACGCTCTTGTTCCTGCATATAAATATGGAAATATGAGAATAGCTGCAGCTGTTTTCAACAACTCTGAAATCACGACGTCACTCTGTAGGCCAAAACGCGGAAGTGAGTTAGCATTTTAGCACTCTCGGTTCCCTCGCTTTAAAGCTCTAAGCCTATGGGATTTTTGAATGGGTTTTTGCTAAACCGCCTGAAATAAGGTCTGTGGTGAACAAAGCCTCTAAATATTTTCACGTTTTGATCTATGACATAAAACACACAGTTATAACCTGCTTGTGTTTTTTATTTAACTTTATTGTGTATGCTTGTGTTTTTTAAAAACTTTATATAGGCTTCAAAATCTATACATTTTGGATTAATTTGTAAAGATTATCTTGATAGACAAAACGTGTAAGGGTCACAACTCTTTGTTAAACACAGATCTTATTTTTAGCGATTTTCCAAAACCGAGGGAACCCATCCGACGCTAACGTCCTAGTTGTCCTACAAAGTGACGTCATCACTTCGGCACTCTAATAAGAGGTCAATGCGAAAAGAGGCTTTATTTAAAGGTAGGCTACACTATATGCAACTTTTGCAGAACATTTTTGGTTGTACTTTGGCTCTGCAAGACTGTGCGGATGAATATTGTCATCCTGAAAAAAGTTATCCTTTTAGAGAAAAACGTTACACGGTGTAGGGTACCTTTAATAATTAAGCTGCACAAATTGATCAGAACAGGCTTGTTTTTCTCTGATCTCTGTGAAATATCAACAGATATTTATAACATAAGCTATCTATAGATTAATTTTGCACAGAACGAAATGATTGTATTTCTTGCTGCTATGATTCTGCTTTGTGTATAATGTACACGTAACGTTAGAGCTTTGCAAACTTGTTCATCTTTGTCCTTGACTTATCGGTTATTCTGTCAAGATAGGCCTACAAGATCTCCTATTAGTGTTTATAAATAACTATAAATGAAATTATGATGTCCGCATGAGGTTTGGGACAGTTGATTGCTCTACATAACAATCTTGTTTAACTGCCTTTTTTAATTTTCTATCCAGCTTTTTCCTACGCCCCATGATGCTTTGCGCAAATTTAGGAATAACTAAACAGTCAGCAACAGGTTCACTAATCTCTATGACCGCATTAATGAGCATTTTCAAATACTTGTACAAGGATGGCATTATCATCACTCTTCGACCACTGAACAGATCCCTCATGACGGAGGAAACAGTTTACATTTCCATCTGGCCTATGTATGCACCTTTTTACAGTCTATGGTATGCACTAATGTACTACTTTGCTTAAATTGATATTGTTGTGCAACACACTTACAAATAAATTAATAAAAAGCTGCAGAAGTACAAAACATCAGGAATGTCATTTTCTGTGTTTACAATCAAGTGCAATTCCTGCACAGATCCAAATAAAAGCACATTTTACTACTATTTTTAATTTTCTGCTGTGCACATTTGCAAACAGTTATACATTATCCATCAAAGAAAGAAAAATATACATGTTGTTGCTAAATAAAGATTTTATTAGGGATGTCTCAAAGATGCTGATCAATTTTAGCAGTGCAAATAATGAGTATTGTCGTCAAGCAGCACTGCCAGACGAAACCGGTTAAAATTCATCTGAAATGTGTCAGACAGTTTAAAGAAAACAAACCCTCAAAAAAATACACTAAATCTTAGAAACGTTTAGATCAGTCTGGGGACAAAACATCACTGTACATTTAAAAACAAATGTGGCAGCTGCTTTGAGCCCGAATATCTGAACGTCTCGGTCTATGAACGATGAAAAACCAAACAGTGTTTAAAAAGACATTACAAATAAATATTACGGTTCATGGTTGATTCAACAAATCAAAAGAGAAAACAAACCACATCTATTAAAATAAATCAAACTTTACAATGCTAATAAAAAACAAAAACAAAAAAGCAAATCAGTGGAAGCCCAATAAAACAAACCATTGAAAGCAACGGCTGCATATTATCTGTCAAATCGGATCTGATACTTCCCTTAATATACATATTTCTTTACAATAACTGTATCTCTCTTTGACTAAGCTATTGGCTTTCTAATGCTCAAAAGCAGATGGAAGAAAATCAAATAATCGAAGCAGAAAAAAGCACAAAGCTTGAGCTAAAGCACCACTTGTTCCTCACAAAACATTTCCTTTCTTCCTTCTGAAGAAGAGACAGATTCAAAGCGCTTCAGCCACATATGATGAAATCTAGACACTTCGTATCATACAACGACATTTAGAGAATCGTCGCATATTCAAATCTGGATATCCTTCTTCTAATATCTTGTTTTGTTCCTATTAGTGTCATGATTACAGTAATATAAGTATTATTTCACATAAAACGAAACGTGGACGAAAAAAAAGCGTTTTGAGAGTGAAAAAAAAAACACCACAAAAGGTGTACGATTAACGGAAACGATTAATAGAAAAGCAACATCACACACATCCACGTCGTGCTTTCGAAGTCATTTGAGTGGGCGAGAGGTAACGAGGATGATGGGTAGTGTTCTACTTCCTCCGCTTCTGCAGAATATCCAGAGAGATGCGGCGAGTGCAACTAAAAGAACGACAATAAGAGACACGGCACAGAAACGTCGACTGAAGCCTCAGCACGAACATCCGCCTTCGTTGACCGGCTGCTCTGGCGGCTTTTCCAATTTTATGTCGATCACTGAAGGAAAGATGAATTAAGGAAAAACCTGATGCTTTTGCGGTGTGTTTTGTGCAGCACACAGTAACACTTATTCAAACGGACAATAAATAAATATGCATATATTTGTGTAGGATACTGTCCTCTCTGCTCTTGTCTTGTGTGCTCTCCATACCAGGAAGAGCTGCTGCTACACGCCGGAAAAGCTGGAAGAGACGAGCAAAACAGCCAGATCAGGAAAAACAGGCAGTGTGTGGGTGGGTTTGAGATGCTTTGCATTCAGAAAGGTTGGATATTTAATCATTTGGATGTTTCTGAAGCGACTGCTATGAGAGAAGTGTTCAGTCATGCTCTTTTTGAATAATCATGCAAATATCATTTATTAAAGTTTGTGATTCAGAGTTTGATTCTCGATCCTTAAAGGGATACTCCACTTTTTTTGGAAATAGGCTCATTTTACCACTCCCTCAGTTGAGCTTCACCGTTTTCGAATGCATTTAGCCGATTTTCTGATATTTAGAAAAATATTAGTAACCAGACAGTTTCTGGTCTCATTGACTTCCATAGTAGGAAAAAATATATACTATGAAAGTCAATGAGACCAGAAACTGTCTGGTTACTGATATTCTTCTAAATATCAGAAAATCGGCTGAATGGATTCGAAAACAGTAATACTCAACTGTTTAACTCTGGGGGAGTGGTAAAATGAGCCTATTTCCAAAAAAGTGGAGTATCCCTTTAACGCACATATTTCTCTTTTGAATCAAGTCCAATCTCAGTCACACGCACCTGTTTGACGTTGTATCCGGCTTTAGCACTAGTTTCAATAAACATTACATTCAGTTCTTTGGCTTTCCTTTCTCCTTCCTCGATAGAAACTTGCCTGAAATGAGCACAAAAACACATGGAATCATTACTATTTGCACATAGATTTCTTTAATACTTGAAAAAACAGCCAGACTGACTCATTTATTTAGCCATTAAACATTAACTTTTAGTTTTGTGCAATTTTTCAGTAGCACCTCATTGCAGTACGCGAGATCCAGGGGGCGGAGTTGGACCCAGATTTAAGGGGTGGAGTTGGGTAGGATCAGGGGTGGGGTTAGGGATCAGGGGTGGAGATGGGCAGGATTAGGGGTGGGGTTAGGGATCAGGGGGTGGAGATGCGTAGGATTAGGTATATATAAGGTGGGAGGAGTTGGATCTGCTCCTCCCCCTGGATTTCATGTTCTGCAGTGAGGACCATCTCCCATTTTTTGGGGTCTGAATGATTTTTTAATGTTTTAAAAAAGTCACTTATCCTCACCAAGGTTGCATTTATTTGATTCTTCCATACACATGATCCTTTAGAAATCACTCTTATATGCAGGTTAGTATATTTATTTATTTTTTATAATGGTTATTCTGCTTAATATATTTGTGCAAAATAAAACAAACTTACACAAACTACATCAAAACGTTTTGTAAACTATTTAAACGAACCGTTTATCTGCAAGATCTGTTTTGTTTCCCACCAGCATGATTATGACATCACTTCCCCTTTCTGTTCGGACATCATCGATCCATTTGGTGGTCTGCTGGAACGAGTTGACATCTGTTGAGGGGATTTCAGAGACACTGGGTTAATACTTAAGATGAGCTTAAGGGGTCTATGAGGGGGAAACAAAAAAAAATAAAAAATAAAAAAATTAAAAAAAAAATCACAGGATCACAGACCGGGAGACAAAATGTGCAGGTAGATAGAAAAAAACACAAGGATAAAATAAGAGGAAAGAAAGAAAGGAAGTTCTAAAGCTGGGAGCGACTCTGTGCTCATGAATGCGTCACAGGAACTTGGTCTGCAGAAAAAAAAAAAGACAAATCATCTTTCATCTACATTTTAGTCTGTAAAATGGTGAATGAATGCATATTTTCTTCTATATAAATAATTACAATTATTTTATTGTATGAACAAACAAAAAAGAAAACATTTATAATTCAATGAAAAATTTAAATATATCTTGCGAATATAATAAATTACGGTTGTAAATAAAAATGCATCATTCTTTTATGTGAATGTTATTCTCAAGAACTTAATGTTTAGTTCAGAGGGTGTAAAATTAACTTTTAGCCGCAAATGCTAAAACTTTAAGTGCACTATAAGTTTTTTACTTTAAAACTAAGTTTTAATTATTAAGGCAGGAGCCATCTTTAGAAAACAGTCTCGACCAGTCAAACCATGAACACAAAGATGGCTCCTGCCTGTATATGTGAAGTTGACTGTCTTTATAAAATATCTTCTTATTAAACTCTCTGTACACTTACAATGTTCTCAATGCTTCAGTTTGTGTGTAGGGGCCCTCATTATGTTACTGTGTTAGTGTGGGGCTATTTTGAGCCTTGTTAGTGGTTTTAAAGGAGTAGTTCACTTTAAAAAAAACTTTTGCTGATTATTTACTCTCCCCCATGTCATCCAAGATGTCCATGTCATTCTTTCTTCATTCGAAAAGAAATTAAGTTTTTTTGATGAAAATATTCCAGGATTTTTCTCCATATAATGGACTTCAATGGGAACCAAACGGATCAAGGTCCAAAAGACAGTTTCAGTGCAGCTTCAAGGGGCTTTAAACAACACCAGACGATGAATAAGGGTCTTATCAAGTGAAACGATCAGTCATTTCAAAAATAAATAACAAAGTTTAAATTTTATAAGCACAAATGCTCGCCTTGCTCTGTTCTGTGATGCGCGTTCGTGACTCTCCTGTTCGAACTCGTTCATCAAAATGAACAAATCTTTTTTCGAGTCATGACTCGAAGGGTCCTACAGTAGATAAGACCCTTATTCATCATCTGGTGTCGTTTAAAGCCCTTTGAAGCTGCACTGAAACTCTCATTTGGACCTTGAATCGTTTGGTCCCCATTGAAGTCCATTATATGGAGAAAATCCTGGGATGTTTTCATCAAAAACCTTAATTTCTTTTCGACTGAAGAAAGAAAGACATGGACATCTTGGATGACATGGAGGTGAGTAAATTATCAGCAAAAGTTTTTTTTAAAGTGAACTACTCCTTTAACTAGCGATATTTATTTTTCATTACTCTATGCCCTATATACGAGTGTTATAAGCTAAACAGCTTCTAGAGATAAAACTCTTTACATTCGATTACCATGAAAACAAATCTCAGAGAACGGTCGACTAGGTACCAATGTGTTATTAGACCAAAGGTTCGTTTAGCACCGGAGTTGTCCTTTAATTGCAAAGATCTGCATGTAGTCCAAAACAAAGGAGTCTACCCAGTTTTAAGCACAGAATTGCAATTGCAAAGCAAAAAACAAGAAGACAAAAAGAATGAAATCACAGAAAAAAACTCAAAGGATGTGAAAAAAGAGAGAGACTGCGTTGAGGTGACAGACATCTTTCCTCTTCCTTAAGTTCTCCTGCCGAGGATCCACACTCACTTGTGATGTCAAAGACTACAACGGCAACCGTAGAGTCCCGGATGTAGCTGGGAATCAGACTGCGGAAGCGCTCCTGTCCTGCTGTGTCCCACAGCTGCAGCCGCACCTGACCGAACGTTTTAGCACCAGAGTTCCAGCAGAGAGAGAGAGAGAGAGAGGGGGAGAGAGGGGAAGAGGAAGAGGTAAGAGGAGGGGAACTGGACGTGGAGCGGGTCTCAGATACCTACTTGTGATGTCGTAAACTACAACAGCAGCAGCAGAGTCTCTGATGTAACTGGGAATGAGGCTACGGAAACGCTCCTGTCCTGCCGTGTCCCAAAGCTGCAGCCTGATCTGTGTGAATGGAGAAAAAAAACAAAAGAAAAAGAGAGGAATAAAGGAAAAAAGAGGAGAAATTAAAAGTTCAAAGGGGGGAAAAAAAGGTAAAAAAGGCGTGGAATGAAACGTAAGAAAGTGGATCGAGAAGATTCCTCAAGCTCAGAATTCGGGAACGGCTTCCCGATTAATTTAAAACTAAATTAACAATTTATTTAATCTCTTAAAAATGGTTAATGTTATATGACTTAATTTGATTACCAATGTTTTTGATAATAAATTTGAATTAAATCATAAATACAGAAAACACAATTTGTTAAAAAAAAAAGTTGTTATATTTTTATAAAGTCAATTGATTTATACATGCTTTTTGATTAATACAATTTAAAATAGATAGTTAACTAAAACCTATTTTAACTAAGTACTACTATGAATGAATTCAAGCTTCATGATTTTTTGGACATGCTTTTTTTTTTACGTTTCAATTAACCAAAAAAATCAGAGTACATTTCTAAATTAAAATTGAGAGGGGGAAAAAAATGGAATCTAAAAATTTAAAAAATTAAGATTAAATGAATGCCCTAGGGTTATGGTATGGGTTATGTTATCAGGACTGCAGATCTTCAGAGTGAAACATTCCCACTCAAACACTCCTTCACAGAAAGAAACATATAAATGTGAGCAAATAACTAGAGAGAGAGAGAGAGAGAGAGAGAGAGAAGGGCTGAAGCAATAGACACACCAGGTGGAGCGAGGCACTGGACCGCTTATATTGGGCTCTTACAGACAACATCATCTCACGAAACGTTTCAATCAACATTCAACAAAGCAAAGAGAAATACTAGGGCTGCACAATATGAAGATACATATCCAAGTAGTAGACATTAAAATATCATAACAAGAATTTCCATAAAGAAAGAAAATGAACAATTTAACACAATAAAAAAAAATGCTATTACATTAAAATCATTATATTATAACTACAATAAATTCACCTGCAATGTTTTTTTTTTAAAACGACACAATGTACAGCAATAAAGAGTATTGACCAATGTAAGCTATTAAAAAACATCTCATTAATCAAAGGCATTGCAGACGTTTGTGTCATTTAAACACTGGTCAAATAATTTTACAGCATTTATATTATTTCATTCCTTCAAACGATTGAAAGAGACGTGCATTTATTGGTAGAAGAAAAAAATGTACTTACTGTTCTGTCCTCAAGATACATTGTTTTCGACAAGAAATCGATTCCTATTGTCGCCTGAAAATGAAAAGCAACTAAACAAAATTAAAGAAAAGGACACTTATCCATGCAACTGATCAGAAACATCCAAAATAATCAGAACACGGTTTAAACTTAAGACAATGAGTCAGAAAAAGATTCACTTACCTGGTAGGTATTATCGAAACTGTCATACATAAATCTGGTGATCAGTGATGTCTTTCCCACTGCAAAACCACATGAAAAATGAAATGGTTACGATCAAAACATAAAGGTCAAAACTTCAAAAAGGACATTTATGCATTACTTTCATTGCCAATACATTTTCCTTGAATGCAGATGGAAAACATCCAACCCATTACTCAATTAAATCTATATCATGAGTGCCCGTCTATCAGACGACACTGACATCCTAACATTAGATTACAAAAGCATAATAAAAAAAACTAAAACTAAAACAAAGGTCTTCATTGAATGCATAAACCTGTGCACATACATTTCTGATTCAGAGGAAACATCGCAATAGAAGAATCTAAAAACCAGGAATAAAATGAACACATGCATGTCTATGTAAATATATGCAAATAGTTTGAACATTTGCTATGTTTATGTTGCTACTCATTTTTTTTAGAAATCCAAGAAATGGCCAAACTATCCTACACGGGTATAGTCTTACTAATGTTTACAAAATAATGTCACATTACCCTTGTTTATGCTTTATACGGATTGCTGATTTACACAGAACTTGCAAAGCACCGGGCCTGACCAGCTGTTGAATTCTGGGGGCAGTGATTTATTTATTTTTTAGAGATTGAGAGGTCACCTGGGGTCAGATATCTCGGAAAGAGGAATGGATCTTCACACTGAGACTTTAGGCAATGCTGGTGTTTATATATAATGAACACATGCAAGCTCTGCTGAGTGTTCAACAGCTAGAAGATCCAGAAAATCCCACCATGTCAGCAAAACATGTCAGTCAAACATGAGAATATCATGTTTACACGGGAGACAGACAAAAATATACTGAGAAATGAATATGAAATGGACAAGACAGCCGAAATTAATGATGGCATCTCATGAATGTTGATATTTCCTGAGACTTTAACCCCCAAAACTGTTGATATTAAAAGATGAACTTACAAGAAAAACAGTTTTGGCTGATGTGATTACGTTTATAGTAACGTTAATCACCATCATACATGTAGTTTTGGATCTGTGAGCATGTAACAAGGTACAACTACGACATATTCCAGCACACATACATGTATTTATAATATACATTTCCATTTAGATATCTAATGTCTAACATACAAACTCAAAAACACACTCATAACGGAAGAGAGACAGAACCAGGACCAGGTTCGGAACTCACCGCTCTGTTCTCCCAGAAACACCAGCTTGAATTTGCGGAGCGGGTTCCCGAAATCTCCTGCTGCAGACATGCTGCCGGTTCCGCTGGGCCTACTGTGGATGTTAATGTGTTGCTATAACTTTCAGATTGCTGTATACAAGAGAATAAAGCGGTAATTCGGTTCACTTAGAGACTCTCAGCCGCCTATTCAGGCCCCGTTCTGCGCCGCAACCTACCATGATACTCACAGAGACGTGATTGACAGCTGAGCTCAGCCTATAGCGTTAGAGAGAATACATGCGTCACAGGGTTCTGTCAAATTGACGATGACATGTCAGTATACTAAATTAGGACAAGTGTTCAAATATTATCTCAATATCAATATCATTTAATATATAATTTAGATAATTTGAGTATTGCATTTCCTGTGACGTCTTTTCATCATTTAAAAATAAATTATGCTTCATTCGCATCAATATTCAAATATGAACAAATATTTTTAAACGTATTTTTTTACTAGTGGAAAATGTAATGGGGAAACGCTCCGGAATGTTGTCTGTGGAAACAAGGCGGGACTCCAAACAGGTTAGATTGAGCTCTGCAAGCGCCACGTCACATTCCATTAACCCTTAAACCGTGAACAGGGAGACTCTTCTAATACTTTATACAATTATATTTAAAAGGGGGTGTATTACAATAATGCTTACTTTCTGTGCCAGTAGTAATTTATGGTTATTTAAATAGCTAGTGTAGAACCTTGATATTAGAACAGTCTTTCAAAGTAATATATTTTAATATTTATTATGTTTTCTAAGCATAATGATTACTTCTGAATGTTAAATAAATCATGCTGATTTTAAGCTTTTAACTGCATGTGATATGACAAAACAGTCCCACGCGTGACGCGTTTGCTCCGGCAGGGGGCAGCAATGTGCCGAACGAGCCTAAATTCATCCTGCTGGAATCCGTGAAGAAGAGCGGGCGCAGTACATGCGCTTACCTGATTGATATTTTACGCGTTTGACTGCTTGTATTAAAACGTTATTACTGGATTAATATATCAACGTGAAACAATGAACAATTTCCTGAATAAGGTGTAGTATTTTAGAGAATGACTTAATCTTAATCGTCGCAGTAATGTATGTTGTTGACATGCCAAGGTCGTAGAGGAAGAACAGAATTGAGTTCTGTACATTTAACTTGCATGAATGATTGCAGTATTTTACAAACATAATTTATGTTTTAGTTTTTGGTGTGTGTCATTAGTTTGTGTCATTCTTCTGCATCAGGTTTTTCTTCTTCAAAAAACACGGGCGCTGGTGTGTGCAGCATCATCGGTCCCGTAAGTGACATATATACATAAATATTATAATATTAAATGGGAATATTATTAAATCTGATCATTGACTTTTCTCTTAATGTCACAGAAGTCAAGTGTTAACTACGCAGATGCCGTTGGGTAAGAGCTATGTTTAATTTTCATTTGTGTATGTGTGTTTGCAGTCATGGATAAAAAATAAAAGAAATAAGTAAAGAATAAAACGAATTATTAAAACAATGAATGGTTAAATACATTTGTTAGTAATAATCAGCTTTTAGTAGTTTTTGAACAGGATTTCAGACTTTGCAGACGTAAGGGGATAAATTAGCATGTCTCAACTTTTGGAGAAGTGGCAACAAAAATTAGGGGTACATTTTCAGAGCAGACGTGAACTAAATGTCTGATTAGAATAGATGAATATGAGTATGTGACATCAAAACATATAATGGGTAATTTAGATGCATAAATTGATTGATAAATGTAAAATATTTTTGCAAAGAGTAATCATATACCGTAAAAAATAATCATAATAAAATAATCAAAACATTTCTTTTTATTATATGCCAGTGTTCAAATATAATTATTGTCTGATAGTAATAATCAAATGTTTTTTTTATGTGTCTAACCAGGTGTTTTGCTGCCTAACAGACAGTATAGATCAATGCCCACACATGGGATTGGAAGATACAGACATCTTCTTCCAAAAGTTTTGGTAAGACCTAGTTTTGCACATCATCATCATCAGTATAAAAAGTTTTCACTGCCATTTAATAGAATATCCTACATTTTTTTCATTCAGCCAAAGAAGAAGAAGGACAAAATTCAGGCAAAGCAGATTAAAGAAGCGACCGCCACAGAGTTTGGTGTGCTTAATGTGTGTGTTTCCGGATATGACATGACTCTAGTGGAACATTATTCCCAGTACATCCACAATCTCTGCAGTCACTTGGACATCAAAGTCGATGATAGGTGGGAAGGAGAGATATATTTTATTATATATATATATATATATATACTGTTATGTTACAACAATATATCATTTAACATTTTATGAATTATTGTAAAGTAACAGTAAAAATAATTTTCTTATTTGTGTTTTAAAGCTTTGCCCTGCCTACGAAAAGCACAGAGGTCATGGTGATGCAGGAGCAAGGCACAAAGATGTATGTAGATGGAGTCCTGAAAACCCATGAGCGTGTTGTTCAGGTAGAGTAAATGCAACGTTGTTGGTTATATGAATAAATTATCTAATTTTATGATTGCATATGATTATGATAGGTGTCCGGTAGCCTATAAATGATTTATTGGTGATGTGCATTTAGATCAGTGAAATGAAGGCAACACTTTTTCCCATACTTGCGGAAGTTCTTATGAAAAACCAGCCTGAGGGAGTGCAACTCTGTGTAAAGCAGGTCAGAAAATTACACTTCATAGTTATTGACATTGATACTGCTCTTATATTAATATGTCTGGCTGCATTTATGAAACTACTATCAACTGATATGGGCTTCATATATGTTGTTGTGTGTTTTTTTTGTTTGTTTTTTCAGCACAAGGAAGCAGATTATCAAGCCCGGTTCAAAACAAGACCTGAGCTTGAGGGGCTTATTGCAAAAATTAATAATTAATGTATTATTTAAAAATGTTTTTCACATTAAATAAAGTGTGTTTTTACATGACAGACATTTTCTACCTGGTGTGTATGTAATGAATAAACTATCTCACGATTGTTTTCCATATAGTGATTTTTGTCTTGACCTGTTATTAAAAGTGGATGTGAATGCACTGGAGTATGAGGAGAGTTAAAATGTGATTGCTGTAATGTTGTTGACAGTGTCAGAATATTTTAATCTCTGCAGCTGTTTATGAACGACGGCATTACCCAGAAGTCCGTTCTCTGTTTCCATAGCTACCTCCGTTGACAACAGTAAACTAATGTTCATTCCTACTGACCCGGTTTACATTTGTGCCCTGATACGTTTAAAGTGTAAACATTAGATAAATTCGGAAAGTTAGATAAACAGTTAGGCGATGGGCAGAGACTATTACACTATTTTGGAAATAAACCGCAACGCCACTGATGCTGACATAAAGAAGGCGTAAGTTAGCCTACGTTTTGTTTAATTTATAAGTAACGTTCGTTTTGTAAATGTTTATGAATTCAATTAAAAGCAGATAAACTAGTCAACAATTTTTGTTTACGTTCATTTTGAGGAATATTTGGCTAGCTGTAGATTTGTTTTTATTCCGGTATAATCAGGTATCGGCGGCTCGCGCTGAAGCATCATCCGCGCAGCCGGAGCCACGCGCGCGCCGCCGAGCGCTTCACGTTGCTCGCGGAGGCGTTTGACGTGCTGAGCGACCGTGAGTTCATTAGACAAACTCATATTCATATACACCCACAAAATACAAAAAACACCTTGCAACAGCAGTTGAATAGTCGACATAGCGTTATTAAACATTTTTGATGTCAATTTTGATGCCAAGAACTCCAAAATATGATGTTCACATTCCTAATCATATATGTATTATCTTGTTCGACCCGAGATAAACTAATAAAATATACAAAGTAGCCATAATTTATTTCATGATTACAGACTAGTCTTTAAAAAACGGAGTAAAAAAATATCCAAAACTGTAAATGTAATTATATCCATTATATAGGCCTAATGTATGCATAAATAAATGTTTTAATCATTAATTTGCATTTTTTTTTCTCTGGACGTTTTCACAGACCCCCTAGCACCCCAGTTTAAAACCTTACTTTAAGGTGTCATGTAAATGTTATTAATTTTTTAAATATATACTTGATGAAAGTTACATACCATATCCTCCTGCCACTCATTGTGTAAGGAAAACAGCACAAGTTCAGCCTTCAATTTGCTGTGAAGTTGATGATGGCCTTTCTCATGCAACGCAGCTCGTAAAAAGGCCACTTATGATAAGTTTGGAGAGGAGGGTTTAAAAGGAGGAATCCCATCTGAGCTGGGAGCGAATGGCGCCTGGTCATCAGGATATGTCTACCATGGAAATGCAGATGAAACTTTCCGGAAGTTTTTCGGAGGAGATAATCCTTTTGCAGGTAATTTTTATAGTATTTTCAATTTGTATGATTTTAATTGACATTTCCAAAGACAACCTGGTTCAATCAATGTTCATAATGTCATGGTGTTTTGAAGAACCCTAGTAATATCTCCGTAGATTTCTTCACTGGTGAAGGCAGTGAGGTCAACACAGCTTTTCAGAGCTTGCGTGGGCAAAAAGAAAAGTTACAGGATCCACCAATAGAGAGAGACCTTCATCTTGCATTGGAGGACCTTTATTATGGATGCACTAAAAAAATTAAGATATCCCGTAGGGTAAGTTCTGCAGACAAGGTATATGGACTCATGAGAAATTGATTTCAGCAAAGTGACATGTTTGATACAGGTCATGAATGAGGATGGACACACATCCAGCATCAGAGACAAAATTTTAACCTTCACTATAAAAGCAGGATGGAACGAAGGGACACGGATCACGTTTCCAAAAGAGGGAGACCAGGCATGACAGAACACGTTTTTATCACAATTTTGTTTTGTCGTGGTTGTAAATAGATCTTGGTCATGGTAGAATTGAATCTTTTTCTCCACAGGGACCAAACAACATCCCAGCAGATATTGTGTTCATCATACGCCAAAAGCATCACCCACGCTTTGTCCGCCAAAATGATGATCTGTTTTACACGGCAAATATTTCTCTTGAGAAGGTGAGAAACATTTGTTTTAGCATTTCTGATAGATCACAACCAGAGAGGGTATCCATCTTTTCTGTCTAGTTTTTCTCAACATGTGATGTGGTTTCAATTGGACCAATATGTTCAAAATGATTTAACATGTCATTTAAGTTTCATAAATTAACTTTGAATATATGGTAATTCTACACACTCAAAAAAAGTGAACTAGGAAGGTTGTGCACTTTACATAATATATTTATATTTAGCTTACTTATAATAATTGTTTTTTTCTTTTACGGTCTATGTAATTATGTCTCAACTTAAAAGTACAAAATCCTTACGTGCTGTCTAAACAAAATTAGGTGTCACTAGAATAAATAAAATATTAATGGATTAATGAATATACAAAAAAATACCTTAATCGTGCCAGGAAGCAAGACTACTTAAATTGGGTTGGTTAAAATTACTTAATTTTATGATGTTGAAGTTACATGAACAAATCATGTTTTTTTTTTACATAATCCAGTTATGTGAAACCTTTTGACAAAATAAAATTGAAGCCAACATATAATATTTTTGAGTGCAGGCTTTGACTGGTTTCTCAGTAGAGGTTGAGACACTAGATGGCAGGCTTCTCAACATCCCAATTAATGACATCGTGCAGTGAGTAAAACATCTTTAACATTCACGTTTATATGTAACTCAGCAGAACTTCTGAACGAAGTTCATATTTAAGATTGTTTCGTTTTAATTTCTTTGTACTACAGCCCTCAGTACACCAAGGTTGTGAGCCAGGAGGGAATGCCACTGGCCAACAGCCCATCCGAGAGAGGCGACCTGATCATTCGCTTCGTCACACATTTCCCAGAGAAGCTCTCGGCTGAGAAGAAACAGCTTCTAAAACAAGCCCTTTCATCAAAACTAATACAGACTTAGTCTAGTCGGTCATCAGAAATGTTGATACTGAAAATTAAACAGTTTTTTTTAATAGCCTAATTTTATTTCACATATTCTGAAAGACAGAAGAACCATGTAAAAACCAAAGATCAAGTAGACAGGTAAACAATGCACACAAAATCTAAAGTTAGAACCACATCAGCAAAGCTCAACTAACTGCATTATGCCCTTAAAGAGGGGCCCAGTTATGGTGCGCTGCCATCAGGGCCCGTTTCAGCTGCTCATAGGAGACAAACATAACCACGTTCCAGGAGCCCAGCCTCAGAAACGATGGCATGAATCTAAAAAAAGAAAAACAAACAGATGTCAATTGTACATTCATCCTCCAAGCATTACAGTAAAGCTCTAGTTGGTCAAGAAAACCGACCCCTTGTAAAAAGCCTTTGGTCCCTCTTTAGTTAGCATGGCTACAGCACAGTTGAGGGCACTGCTGTACTGGCCCTGGGCGGAGTTCATGTATCTTGTCTTCACAACATCAACAGGAGAAGCGATAACTGTGGTGCAGAAACCAGCTCCAAATGCAGATGTGAAGTGGCAGGGAAGATCATCTGTGAAGAGCAGCAATAAACATTTCTATCATAGTTTAACTCAAGTTTGCAATACTTTTTTGTGGACTCATCTTACCAGTCATCAGCAATGATTTTATAAGTGCATCTTTGATGAGATCATAGGTCACCAGCTCAGTGCAGTTTACAATGGCATTGCGGGTGATGTTTGGGCCAGTTCCTTTAAAAAAAAATGATAAGAAGGGTAGTATAAATTAGAGAGGAGAGAATAAAGTTAATCACATAATACATTTAGTTTATGCACCAAGTACATAAAATATTACTTAAATATATATATAAAAAAAAAGTAACCAAGAAAATATAAAACTATGCATTAAATAATGTATAGATTTAAGTATTAGTAGTGGTAATAGTATAGAATTAAAATAATGTATATTAGTATTATATGTAATTAAACGACGACAAATTTAGTTACATTTAAAAAAAGTTAATACATTATTATTAGTAAAATAATAAACGCATTAAAATAAGTGTCGTAGTAATTTAAATGTATAATATTTATTAAATTACACTTGCATAAACTTAACGAATGCAAATGTAGTTATAATAATGATGACTAATTTTTTTACTTGTTAAAAGTCACACAAAGAATGCGATTAAACAGTTATATACATCAGTTGTTTTGATATAGTTATTACTATTTTTAGAATATATATAAATATTTTGACTTGGTTGGGCCCCATGCTCACCTTTCCACAAACCACGAAACCCTTCTTCCTTTGCAATGGTCCGATATGCAGCCATAGTGCCATGGTAACGTTTATTGGCCCCGGCGCTGATCTGAGCCTGAAACCGTACCTTCACCACATCTGTGGGTTGGGCCAAAGCCACTGCCATGGCTCCAGTCGTACAGCCGGCCATCAACCTACTGCCAATCCCGATGTCTAATAAAGGAAATGCATTGAAATGGGGTTAATGAGGTCTTGCATAAAAAAACAATTTTCTCTGCACAAAGAATAAACTTACGATCTGAGCCTTTGGTGTAGAACTGCTTGACTGAATCATAGAGGCCAATGCGTACAGAGGCAAAGCTCATCTGACGCTGCAGTCCCGCAACCAACCCGTTGTAGAGACTGCGTGGCCCCTCAACACGCACCATGGTGCTGATCGTGCCAAACACTCCACGATATTGCACTGGACCATGGCCTGTGTTCGCAGGACCTTTGGTCTCCCCTTGAATCTGTACAGAACAAAAGGTGGATGGAGAAACTTTACAGAATCACAGGGGAGGGAAGCAGCATCTTCAGGTTAAAAGGGTCCACAGTGATCCTGGGGCAGCAAGGACAATCATCAAGGCCTGGACCTGCTTACGTTGCTACGTGTAAAAAGAGTCAAAAGAAATAGAGCTGACGTCAGTACGGGTGTGACTTTAAACCATCCACCTGAAAGGAAAGATTAGTTTGTTTTGTTGACCTGGATCGAGTCGTCACACGCATGTTGTCTCCGG